ACGGAAAATGGGAACAAAGGGTCAGGGAAGATGAGGATAGGGCATTGACGTTGCTAACAGGAGGAGGAGGAGCAGCGTCTGGTGTTATAGGGGGCGGCAGTGAGAGGGGAGGTATCCATAGTGGGCGTGGTCACACATAGGTCACGTGATTTACAGGAGGCTGAGCTGCTTTATTCACAGTATATTGATGAGCCCAGAGCAGACATTTCACTTATACTGACCACCTGCGGGAGGCATCACTTGAGTGATTCTAATCTTTCTATTTAAGCTTTCGTGACTGCAGAGATTCATCTTCTTGGTTCTTTCGGTAAAGTCACGTAAAAGGGAAATAATAAAGTAATAAAAATAAAACATAATAAAATACAATTCTCACGACGTTTCGGCCACAACGCAAGCAGCCGTCCTCAGGTGAAGAACACGTCTGTCTGTCAGACGCTGTCTTTGTGTGTGGCTAATGACAGTGAATGGTGTGATAACCACTTGAAATTAGTGGGTTAACAGATAATTCACTCGTATTGGCCAGGTAAATACATCGGTGCGACAACAGTTGTTGCTACTGTAGCTGGCACTGGTATCTTCTCTCGCCCATGGAATTCATGCCAAGTGCAGCTGTGGTATAGAATCATTAATTCGACCTCTCCGTTCGTTGATCAACACACACATAAAAACGTAATATGTGTTTAGTCTTTCAGCCTGTGTGGGCTTTCCGGAACAATCTCATCTAGCAAAAGCATTTGTATCAGCAAACGCTGAACCAGTTTTGGCCTTCCGCGTCTCATCAGCAAACTCAGCCTTGTTAAACACATACGACTCGGTTACCAGAGCACTCCACCTTCATTACTCAATAAAATGTTTGGTGGGCTTTACCTGGTAAGATAAATGTAATTGTGCTTTATTTGTATATTTTACGTGCTTAGTTTACCTTTCCTATACTTTGCACTCCTATCGTGTTTTTGCATTGTTTGGTGTTGTAACGTTCTGACCCGCCCCTATTGGAAATCTGTGAAAAAGAGCTTTATAGCTCATCGGATTCCTCCAGAAACACATTCCTGCGGAGGGAGCTGGTAGGAACGTTGGGTTGCTCGGTCAATGGCCAGGGTCAACGGCGGCGTGGTGTATTCCGCAAATATGCCCGACTGTGAGGGTGGGCACAAGCCGGCGTGTGTAGGTTAAACGTTGAGTTTTATAAGGGCACCACGGGGTGACCGGCCCCGCCCCACCCAGCCCCACCCTCCCCACCCAACCCCACCCTCCCCACCCAGCCCCTCCCCACCCTCCCCACCCAGCCCCTCCCCACCCTCCCCACCCAGCCCCTCCCCACCCTCCCCTCCCCCCCCAGCCTCACCCTCCCCACCCAGCCCCTCCCCACCCTCCCCTCCCCACCCAGCCCCTCCCTGCACGACGGACACAATAATCCCCTGTGGGCTGGTCTAACCAGGAGGTTCCTACCAGTATAAATACATATTTTTATTGTGTTGGCAGCGGTGCACAAGCACAATTAGCAACAAATAGCAACTCAACTCTACACATTCGTCAATGACACTTTGGCCTTTTGATTAACAATATATGATTGGCGACTTTTTGGGAAATGCCTCTCTTTCATTAAAAACTAGAGAGGCCACTGATATAGATTGGATTGGAGTTGGAAACTGCGTTTAACATCACGGGGCCTGATACGAATTACATTTAAACAACATTTCCTGATGAACCTTCACTATGGGGCCTTATTCAGCGCTAAGAGCAGTGTTTTATTGGTTTTAATGCATTGTACGTTTGGAGTACACGTACAGAATTCGACCAAGTGGCTCAGCGGTAGATTGAGCAGCCATAGGAATGTGGATACTTCCTCCACCTCTGGCTCAGCGCTGCAAACAGGAGATGAACACCAATGCCGCAATGCCTCATTTGAGCAGAATATCGCTTTGGCTAGCAGGGCTGTGGTCGGTCTCACACGAGAACGATTGTAGGTTGAGAGTACGTTACGTAAACCTCCCTGCGCGCCACACATTTACATTAAGTGCCGTAATGGCGCATCTATGAATATCAATTATTAAGCTCACGACATAGTAATTGAATCACGTGAGTAGAGGAATCGCTGTGTCGATTCGCATGCGTTAGTTTTTTATGGGTCGTCGATGTCGCAATGATCAGCACACTGCGCTCGGCTACGAACCTGGCCACCTGTTGTCGATTCCCGATCGATTCCCGGTCACGGTGTCTGAACCGATCCTGGGCTCCCCCAGCGCCCGTATTTCATCAACTCGCACTAACCGGCGTGGTGAAGTTTGGCCAAACCACCCCCACGACAGACACGGGGTGGGGAGACCTTCAGCCAGCAGCGGATTAACAAAGGGCTGACAATGAGTGTTGTTTTTCGATGCAAAGCTTTCGTGACTGCAGGGATTCATCTTCTTGGTTCTTTCGGTAAAGTCACGTAGAATGGAAATAATAAAATAATAAACATAGAACATAATAAAATAATTCTCACGACGTTTCGGCCACAACGCAAGTAGCCGTCCTCAGGTGGAGAACAGGTCTGTCGAGGAGACTCTGTCTCCACCTGAGGACGGCTACTTGCGTTGTGGCCGAAACGTCGTGAGAATTATTTTATTGTTTTATTTTTTTATTTTTTTATTTCCATTCTACGTGACTTTGCCGAAAGAACCAAGAAGTTGAGTATTGTTATTGCGTGCATTGTTTGTAATGGGTTGGATGACTCCATGTGGCATCTCGTGACCTATATATATCAACATGCAATTATAAAATAAGCAATTCTCAAATCGAATCATGATTTTTAAAAATCGCGACAATTCATAGCATTTCCGCAGATTGAATCGCCATATCTCTAACGTACGTATATCTATCTTAATCAGCTTAAGCCTCCCGTGAATCACGTGACTTCTGTGTGGCCACCCCCACTCTGAACCCGTCCCCTCTCCTCGCCGCCCCCTGTGAAAACAGACTCTATTCCGTGCAGCAATGTCGAGGGAGGCCCCGATGATGCAGTTTCTTCCTCCCTCTCCTCATATATCCTGAAACATTTGCTCCCGTTCTGCGTTCCTTTTCCATTAATTTGTTTTATCTTATTTATCATTACTTCTCTTCCCTTTCCCGTTCCTTTTCCGTATCCCCATGGATTCCAACCTTGACCCTACTCCCCTCCCGGTGGTGTCGCCACGGGCACAACGTTGCTAGTACAGTGAAATTGCTCAGGTCAAGAGGTCATCAAGGCCGATGTCTCTGAGGCCTTGTGATAATCCCCACTAGCCTACTGCTGGGATAGAGAGGTGTCCAGGAGATGGCAACAGATAGAACACGTGGGATCGTGAACTCTTCTGTGCGGACCTCTTATCATGGCTTGGCTTCGCGAACGAAGATCTAGGAAGGACATCCACGTCTTCTGCAGGCACGCTGGTGGCTGAAGAGGCCTATGCGGGACAGGCAGGTCCTGCCACAACAGCTGCAAGTGAAGGTCTCATCTGGGATGGGTGCTGAGGGATCACGGTTCTTCCTCCTTCTCCTTTTGTCCTCCATACGGGCCCTGCGGGTATCTTCGAAGAAGGAGGTGGCCTGGTGGACTGTGTGCCGCCAGGAGTTGCGATCAGCTGCTTGTGTTGCCCACTGACGGTGATCGATGCAGCAAGCAGTGAGGGACTTCTTCAGGGAGTCTTTGTATCGCTTTCGTGGTGCCCCTATGTCGCGATGGCCAGAGGACAGTTCCCCATACAGCACAATCTTAGGCAAGCGGTGGTTCTCCATCCTGGCGATGTGCCCTGCCCAACGAAGCTGTGTCTTGAGGACCATGGCCTCGATGCTGATGACCTTCGCTGACTTGAGGACTTCAGTGTTGGCGACGAAGTCACTCCAGTGAATATTGAAGATTGTGCGGAGGCAGCGCTGATGGAAACGCTCGAGGAGACTCAGGTGACGACGGTACGTGACCCATGACTCAGCGCCATACAGGAGAGTGGTTAGCACAACAGCTTTGTAGACGTTCACCTTTGTGGCTCTTTTAAGGTTTCTGTTGTTCCAGACACGTTTGTATAGTCTGCCAAATGCACTGTTTGCCTTGGCCAGCCTGTTGTCGACTTCGTTGTCGATCTTGGCATCAGACGAGATGACGCACCCCAAGTAGCTGAACTGGTGGACAGCTTTCAGTTCTGTTTGTTCAATGAAGATGCTTGGTGGATGGTGCTCCTCCTGGGGTGCGGACTGATGAATAACTTCAGTCTTCCTCAGGCTGACTTCAAGGCCGAAGATCTGAGCTGTTTTCGCGAAACAGGACGTAATTCGCTGCATAGCTGCCTCTGTATGAGCAAGGAGGGCGGCATCGTCAGCAAAAAGCAGCTCCCTGATCAGTTGCTCCATGGTCTTTGTGTGGGCCTGCAAACGCCTCAGGTTGAACACGCTCCCGTCGAGACGAAAACGGATGTATACGCCATCAGCGTCGTCGAGGGCGGACCTCTTATAATAAGGTCGTTTCCCCCCTCCTATGGGTATGGTGGGTGTCCTACATGTTCTCCGATTTCTTTCCACACAAATAAGTTTAAATTTCGATTTAAAGCTTTCGTGACTGCAGGGATTAATCTTCTTGGTTCTCCAAATAGGTTTGTTATTTAACTTAAAAAAAACTGAATCGGGTGAACAATCGAAAGGAAGTGCCGGTGGCGCAGTGGGCAGCGCGTTGCGTTGCGCTATGAACCCGGCAACGTGAGTTTGATTCCTTGGCCGTGGCTCTTAACATCGGTGATACACTATCTGCATCGCATTTGACCTTCCACCCCCCGACCACCCGCTCTCCCCTTCACCAACGCGCACTGACCAGCGTGGTGAAGTATGGTCAAACCCCCATGAGCTACGCGGCGTTGGGAAACCGTTCGTCCAACGGGCGCTGCACATTACAAACAGTTCATTACAATGCAATGTAGTGGGACCATCCAGAAACAAATAAAACCATAATACTTAATGTGATATGTAGATGGCGCAATAATGTTTTATTAATGACAAAGATTCCCCGCTCCACGCCCGATCGCCTTTGTCTCCCCAGTGCTGACATTTACACATTGCACTAGGTACTCATATCAAGGCTGTGAGTGTGTGGAATAATCATTCGTTATTAATCACACACACACACCCAGAAAGCAATCGTCTGCGTCTTTAGCAACGTCCGCCGCTGGCACCACGAGGTCGCTCACGCCTGGAGACGCAGCAATAGCAGCAACAATCACGGCGTGAATGCGGCTGGAGGGAGAGATGGAGCGACCGGCTTTCGTGAGCTCTCCCTCTTTCTTTTGCTCTCTCTCTCTCCCCCGCTTCTCTCCCTCCCTCCCTCCTCCTCTCTCTCGCTCGCTGACCAATAGCGGCTTGTAGCTGCACATCAGCCAATTGAGTCTCTGCCCACCCCCACCCGCCACTCGTGTAGCGAGAGAGAGAGAGAAAGAGAGCGAGTTGCGTTAAACGGCTGCCGATCTCAATCGCGTTCACATCAAGCCGGAGCTCGCATTCCGCACCAGCCCTGCAGCCTTAACATCCACCGCGCCTCCGGCCCGCGCGAAGCGGCGGTCTCTCTGCGACCCCGACACACACATCCACCCACACACACATCCACCCACACACATCCACCCACACACACACACACATCCATCCACCCACACACATCGACTCTCTCGCACACACGGACACACGTACGTAGCCCTCCCACAAGTCAAAAACTACGCCTGCACCAACACCACCAGCACAGCCGACGCTGCGACCGAGCACACAAGTTGCTTGACGCCGCGCGAGCAGCAATGGCCCTACCCGACAATGCCAACAAGCTGACCAACGGGGAGGCGACCTCATTCGCCGAGGTCATCGAGCTGAACGTGGGCGGCCAGGTGTACCTGACCCGCTGCGCTACGCTGGTCAGCGCCCCCGACTCGCTGCTCGGTCGCATCTTCTGCGGCAAGCCGGGCGGCGGCGGCGGCGGCTCTCTGGGCGAGAGTCTCTCGCGGGACGGCAAGGGCCGCTACTTCATCGACCGCGACGGCTTCCTCTTTCGCTACATCCTCGATTACTTGCGCGACAATCGGCTCGTCCTACCCGAGCACTTCCCCGAGCGGAGCCGCCTCCAGCGCGAGGCGGAATTCTTCGGTCTCCCCGAGCTGGCCCGCTCGCTGGCCCCGCGTCGCATCAGCACGCAGAACTCCATCACGGACGACGCGTGCGTCAGCGACTGCGACGAGAGTTCGCCGTCCAGCGAGACGACGATCCGCGGAGGAGGCAGCAGCGGCGGCGGCGGCGGTGTCATTGGGACGACCACGTCCCAAAGCTCCGGGCTGCAGTGTGGAGTCGCTGTCGGCAGTGGCGTTGGTGGCATCAGCTACGAGCGTCGGCCCGGCTTCATCACGGTGGGGTACCGCGGCTCCTACACGGTGGCGCGAGACAGCCAGGCGGCGGACGCCAAGTTTCGACGCGTGGCGCGCATCATGGTGTGCGGGAAGACGGCGCTGGCCAAAGAAGTGTTCGGCGAGACGCTGAACGAGAGCAGAGACCCCGACCGCCCGCCCGAGCGCTACACGTCGCGCTACTACCTGAAGTTCACCTTCCTGGAGCAGGCCTTCGATCGCCTGGCAGAGGCCGGGTTCCACATGGTCGCGTGCAACTCTAACGGGTCCGCGGCCTACGCCGGCGACCTGAGCGAAGACAGAATTTGGACCAACTACACCGAATATGTCTTCTTCCGTGAGTGATGATGATGATCCTGATGATGATGCTGCGTTGGCACGTGGACTCTGCTTACTAAACTATCGACTCTCCCCACCCCCCTCCACAACCCACAATCCCTTCCCACTCCAACCGCCGCCAATCCTCACTTCTCCTCCTCCTCCTGTAAAATGACCCACGACCGCGCACCGCTAATGACCCGAGTTGAACTCCGAGCGCGGATGCGTGGAACCCCGAGACTTTGTTGTGTGTCCGGCCGGCCGCGCCGACGTCTCTTCCCTCGTCTTGTGAAGACCTTTTATTGTGTGGACTCGAACTGATTCCCTTTTGCCCGATCCAACCAGATCCGATCCGATCCTCATTTGTACCGCCTCGGTTCCTTGACTGCTGCTGGTGCTCCTGCCGATGATCGTGCTGCTGACGCTGCCTAGATGCTTCTGACCACGTGCGTTCACGCGCCACCGCTCGCATTTATTATTGACCCCTGTGCAAGTATCTCATCCTCCCTGTTTCACACCCCCCCCCCCCTCTTGCATCCCCCTCCCCCCCCCCACACGTCTTGAACTTATGTTGTCTTCTTATCGGCTGCGGCAGCAGAGGCGTCAGGCGACATTCATTACGGCATATGCGAGCACTCCGATTACAACTAAACATAGTGCTGTTTGTTGCTGGTCGCTTTTGGGGCGTGTGCTCAGCAGCCGTGTGAAATTGAAAGTCAGCCCTGTGGCATGGCCCTGTTTTAAAAAGTGGTGCGGGGGGGGGGCGTACAACTCACGGGTAATTCGGGGGGGGGGGGTGGAGGAGGCGACGGTCAATGTTAGACAAGCTTTAAAACAAATTCTCAAACGCCAAACACAATTGGCCACGACGCGATCCCCCAGTAAACATTCCAACGTTGGGCCAACGTTGGGCCAACGTTGGCACGCGGTGGCTATGCGCGCGCCCCTTCAATCCAGCGCTGTGGAGGCAGCAGCGAGGGTAGGTGGATCACACGCGGATGTTGTGAAAACTCCCTTCCCCGTGGCCGTCGAGGAGTAGGAGGGATGGAGGTGCCTCTAGCCCCCCATGCTGGCTCGCCCAGGAGAGGGCCGTGCAGCCAGTGGAGTCTTCGCCGTCCGCTGTGCGTCTGCTCCGGGGAAGGTGAAGGCTGTTGCTGACTCCTCGCGCGCGTGGGGAGTTCTGCTCACTCCCACGAATCTAAAGACTCGTCGATTCATTGGCTGAAAAGATCTTAACATTTAACAACAACAAAACCTTCAACATAGCGACAGGACCCTCATGAAAAGCAGCCTTGCGACTCAGTGTGGATGTTATGGATAAATAAGTAAACTCGAGTACTGTTATCACGTGGTTGGGAAGCTGTGGCCCAACGTCGGCTCAACGTTGGGCTAACGTCTGATATTAACCAAGCTCATTCCGCTCGTCACGCATTCCGCTCGTGCTCTCACCTCCCCGTGCACGCGACGGGAATGGCGACGTCTTCGGGAGGCCTCGGTGCAGCAGTGGATTGATCATAGCTGCTGGCGCTGATGGCGATGTGACGCCAAACGGAACGAACACGAAGGGAAGACAATGGGACCATGCCATGCCCTGTCGCGCATTCTGCCCTCGCTCTCACCTGCCGCCGCCGGCGCCGTGTGTGTGTCGCGCGTATGTGTCGCGCGTGTGTGTGTGTCGCGTGTGTGTGTGTCGCGTGTGTGTGTGTGTCGCGTGTGTGTGTGTCGCGTGTGTGTGTGTCGCGTGTGTGTGTGTGTTCCGTGTGTGTGTGCCGCGAAGGCTGTGACGGCCAGCCGCTTGTTGCCATCATCACTCGCGTTCACTAGCGGACCAATGTTTTGAATAGAAATGGTTAGAAGAGGGGAGCGGTGGTGGCGGTGGTGGGTGGTGGTGGGTGGTGGTGGTGATCGTGATAGGTGGTAGTGGTGGGTGGTGGTGGTGGTGGTGGTGGAAGGTAATGGTGGCGGTGGGTGGTGGTGGGTGGTGGTGGTGGGTGGTGGTGGTGGTGATCGTGATAGGTGGTAGTGGTGGGTGGTGGTGGTGGTGGAAGGTAGTGGTGGCGGTGGGTGGTGGTGGGTGGTGGTGGTAGGTGGTGGTGGGTGGTGGTAGTGGGTAGTAGTGGTGGGTGGTGGTGGGTGGTGGTGGGTGGTGGTAGTGGGTAGTAGTGGTGGGTGGTGGTGGCGGGTGGTGGTGGGTGGTGGTGGGTAGTAGTGGTGCGTGGTGGTGGTGGGTAGTAGTGTTGAGCGTACAGCAGCCGGCGCGGAGTAGGCTCAGACCCCCTGCAGCAGCAGCACCCGCTCCCCGAGGCGACATCACGGCACACAGTGTCGCTCCCACGACTTCACAAACGAAGGAAACAGCCCCACAGACAGATGCCACGTGACAGACATCTCGTTGACCTATATGCACATGCATACACACGGTCGTCGCGTGGATATAGCATGAGCCCTGGTGCAGGGAATAAAATCCCCCCTCCTACCGCCCCTCCCCACCATCATCTTCATAACCTGGCAACTTGACCTCTCCTCCCCCCCGCGGTCCCAGGGGCTCTTGGTGCAGTTGCACCGCCTGCGCAAGCGATTACTCAGGCAGCCGAGTGCCGAGGTTGCGTGTCCCGAGTTCTGCCCGGCAAGAGGTCCGAAGCGATACACGGAAACCATTGACAACCGCGTTGCTGTTGCGTCATAATAGATCGATGGTGACGTCACTGCCAAACAGAGGACGTTTGTGAAAAAGAGCTTAATAGCTCCTCAGATTCCTCCAGTATGAATAAAGATTCTGAATACCTCTCATGCAACTAGTTATTTGGCTATGCTACTGCTGCTGCTACGTTGACAGTGGTTCACAAGCACAAACAACAACAATAAATGAAACACTCCCAACACATTAGTCAATAACAACACTGTTGCCTTAAAAGGAAAACTATATATATTGATATATAACAGTAAGACGTTTCGGGCAATGGCCCATTTTCAAAGCACACAAATGACGAATTCGTTGAGTTTTGTTTATCGCAGTGACGTCACAATGTCGGGCAGCACGTGACGAGCACAGCAAGCATGCTTCTTCGATCGATCGATCGATACATCGATTAAAGGTCGATGCTTTAGGCTCACTAGAGGCACCGGTGAGTGAGTCACGTGCCTCGTACTTCGTCGTACGCACGAATTGGTTCACGTGACCCCCTCCCCTTGCCAGCCACTAGAGGCTGCTGTATTCACAACCGAGGTGAACAGATGGAATCGCGAGCAAGAATTGTAAAAAGAAAAATCAATATATGAAACAAATTCTTGTTGGCGATGCTGCTGCGTTGGCAGTGGTGTACAAGCAGAAACAACAACAACAACTCAACACATTTGTCAGTCATAACATTGTACGTTTGATTCATAAAACATAACAGGCGACGTTTAGGACAATTGCCCTTCATCCCAAAAAGGGTCACTGCCCGAAACGTCGCCTATTACACACTGAAATTAACGTCGCCCAAAGCGTTCGTTTTCTTTATCGGGCCACGCGTGGTGATGATATTGACGGAACGCGTTAAGTTGTTCTTGTTGTTGTTTGTGCACCACTGCCTACGCACGAGTAGCTGCACCAGCAGCAGCACCACCACAATTGAATCCACGAATAGACGGCACCGTGTCTCGCTCTCTCGTCTCGGTCGCGAAGTCTGCTTTGCTCAATGAGGCCGCACCCGCAGCACAACGGCGGAGAGAGATTTACGCGGTTGATCGTCGCACGCACGGCTTGATGCGTGCCGCGTCAACTCCGAAACTTTCGATATCATTCTTGGCGAATCGCGCGTCTTCAGCGACAGGAATCCCAGGATGCCTCGGACATCGGGATGACACATCGCCACGTGTGGAGCAGACGCCGAAACAAAGCCTTGCGAGATCACCAACTCAGCACATGCATGCGTCAATAGCACTGTGTGTGTGGCATTAAAAGGGATATAATGTATATAAACAGGCGACGTTTCGGGCAATGACCCATATGAAGAAGAGACATTGCCTGTAACGTAGCCTATTATATGTTTTTTTTTCATTTAAGACCACGCAGCGTAGCTGTTGGCTAACGTGTTTAAGTTGTACAATTAGTGATGCTTGTGCACCACTGCCAATGTAGCAAAAACAGCAGCAGCCACAGCAGACAACTCGCGAGATGACAGATTTAAGAACTGATTGTCTTTCTTCTATTTGTAAGTTGCATAATCCATTAAAATTATTTACGTGGCGTGGTTAGCCTGATGTGGTGTCAATGTGTGACGGAGGAAAATAACGAGTAACCAATTCGTGACCAATATTATCCATAATAAAGGATTTTTGGGTTAGGTCGTGTGAATATAAGTGCGTTGTTAAACCCGCCACCACCCGCCTGACGATGCTATTTGTAATCACCAGCAAAACGTTGTACTCGAATTGTGAATGTTGTGGGTTTACTCCCCAACACATCTGTGTGCTGAAGTAGTCAATTAATTGGCACGTTGTGTTTACGTGACAAATCTTACGAATTGGCTGTGTCGAGTGGTGTCGGGTTTAATGGGACATTTATATTTAAACACTCTAACCCCAAAACAACATTTATTATGGAAGATAACCATTATCAACAACAAACAAATAACGGACAATCACCAATACACAGATCATAAAATGCTGGGATTCCAGTACAACCACTGAGTAACAGCTCGGCTTTATACGAATCAATATGTAATTCGTTAAACATGAACACAGCCTTTCACTGGAAAAACCACCTCTGCAGTACTAAACTCTACTGACCTGGTATCGACAATCAAGGGGATTGCCCTGTCCCCAGACGACCTGCTTGTCAGTTTTGATGTGGTTTCCTTGTTCACCAAGGTACCTGTGCCTGACACCATCGCAATCATTGAAGACTTGGTTCATCAAGGACTGAATGCTGGGGTACCCCCCCTGGTGAGACACTGCTTAACCAATACATACTTCACCTGGAATGGAACCTTCTACAAGCAAATTGAGGGCACCCCAATGGGCTCCCCCCTATCTCCGGTTGTAGCCAACATCTTCATGGAGAAATTTGAGACGGACGCCATCCAGACTGCCACTCTACGCCCGACCTTATGGAAGAGGTACGTAGACGACACTTTTGTCATCTGGCCACATGGCCGGCCTGCTCTAGACCAATTTCTCGACCACATCAATTCCATACACCCAGCCATCAGATTCACCATGGAAGTCGAAAATGATGGCAAGCTACCCTTTTTGGATGTCCTAATCAAAAGGAGACTTGATGGTTCAATGAGCCACTCTGTCTACAGGAAAGCCACCCACACGGATGCTTATCTAAAACCGGATTCCCACCACCATCCATCTCAGAAGAATTCCCTCATCAAGACTCTATATCATAGAGCCCAATGCATCTCCGACCATGAACACATTTCCAGTGAACTCAAACACGTACGCCAAGCTCTTAAGGCAAATGGTTACTCCGACTATACAATCCGCAAAGCCATCACTCCAACCATCAAGAAGGATCCTGTTGAGGAGCCTTTCAAGACCATCACCTTACCCTACATTGCTGGGGTCACAAAAAAGATCTCCAAAATCCTGATTAAACACAAGATCCAGGTCCGATTCAACACAGTACATAAAATCCGTGATCTGGTACCGTCTGTAAAAGATGTGGTTCCAGACATACAGTACCCTGGCGTCTACAAACTAAGTTGCCTCTGTGGTAGCAGTTACATTGGGGAAACCAAACGACATGTCTCGGACCGCATCCGTGAACATAAAGCTGACCTGAAACACGGTAGGACTAACACCTCAGCCGTGGCAGATCACTGTTACAACTCAGTGGGCTCACATGATATTGACTTCTCCAAGACAGAGGTTCTCTGCAAGCCATCTGGCTATCATGAGAGATTCGTTCATGAGGCGATCCACATATACAAACACAGAGACAACTTTAACCGAGAAGATGGATTCTGGCTCAGCAATCATTGGAAGGACGTAATAAACCATTTCGATACACATTAGGGTGTGTAGAATAATACATAGTGTGATATTAAATGTATAAGATATAGGTTGGTTTACAGCAATACAGTATATAATTTAATGTTGGGTTTATCTATGGCAGTATATAGTACGGTATATGCTCGTGTGATGTAAGAGAATAAGGTTTAGATGGAAGCATATTATAGAATTTTTACGAGGTAAAATTGTAATGTATTACTTGCTGTTAGTAACTCAGCTTATTATAGAGTATAGTAAGTATACTGATGGTGCGATGCAGTTTATACTTTAGTTTTTGATGTAGTTTATACTTTAGTTTTCTACGTGGTTGTTGAGTAACTGCAGCTACATATCATTAACATTCCTTTCCTTTGTTACTGCTAATCCCTGCACCCCCCTTGGTTGCTGCTGATCCTGCATAATGCATGGGCATAATATGACTTTGACACCCCCCCGCCCAACGCCTACGCATTTTCCATGAATATGCTAAATCCCTCTTCACATGCACATTCTTTTTGTTAAGGCGCTCTTCAACCCCCAATGCAGCTTATATATAAGCTCCTAGTTTGGTAGTGTCTCATTCTTCACCTGAAGACGGCTGCTTGCGTTGTAGCCGAAACGTCGTGAGAATTGTTTTATTATGTTTTATTTTTATTATTTTATTACTTCCCTTCTACGTGACTTTACCGAAAGAAACAAGAAGATGAACACATTGTGTCGTCTTATTCCGTACGTGGAATCGTTTCTCTGTACCTGTCCAGAGCTGGCGATGTGTGCCGCGATTTTGCGTGGGGTGGTTTCTTTTTTTTTTACTTACAGCTGCGGCCTGGTGATAACTGTTGTCGCGATGATGATGATGATACATTGGCA